AATGATTGGAATGTTAGGACCGGGACAAGGAGAGCATCTACGTGCGCGTGCTGGGACTGGAGGAGAGATGGGAGCTTCTCAACATTCTCGAGTTCAACTCCGACCGTAAGCGCATGTCCGTCATCCTGCGCGATCCCACCACGGGAGTGGTTCGCCTGTTCTGCAAGGGCGCCGACAATGTCATCTTCGGTACCGGCCAGCCCATGCCGCAGAAGAAGAAGAAGAAGACGAAGAAGAAGTAGACGACGGCGAGGAAGAAGAACGTTGTTGAGTGTCTGACTCGCGATCAATGATGCGCACTATGTGCAGAGCGACTCGCTCCGGGCCAGGACGAGCTGAAGCAGGCGACGTTCGACCATCTGGCCACGTTCGGCAGCGAGGGCCTGCGCACGCTGGTGTTCGCCACGCGGGTCATTCCCTCCGACGAGTACGACGCCTGGAACGAACGCTACCGCCAGGCGGCCCTCAAGATCTACGGCCGCGAAGAAGCCGTACGGCGCATCACCCTCGTCTCCTATGATTGGTGATTGGTCCTGCTGACGTCACGCCCCGCCACCACTGGTATTGTTTGCAGATGGACGCGGTGGGCGAAGAGATCGAGAAGGGCATGGAGCTGTTGGGCGCGACGGCGATCGAGGACAAGCTGCAGGACGGCGTGCCGCAGGCCATCAGCACACTGATGGCGGCGGGCCTCAAGATGTGGGTGCTCACCGGCGACAAGATGGAGACCGCGATCAACATCGGCTACTCGTGTTCGCTCCTCACGCAGGACATGAAGACCCTGGTCCTCTCCTCGGAGGAGGCGGACCAGTCCGATGAGGACAGCGACGTCGACAACAACGGCACGAGTGTGGTATCGCCGCAGACGGCGATTCAGGCGCTAGACCGCCACTTCCGGCACCACTTCGGCGGGCAGGTCGAGCCGTGGTCGCAGGCCAAGATCGATGAGTTCCTCTTCTCCCTGTCGGCTGGCACCCGTACGACACTTCTGACCCTTCGCCGCTCACGAGACTCACTAGTTCCAACTCCCTGTGTGTGTTGTGTGTTATTTGCAGACGGAAAGGCGCCAGGGATGCAAGAAAAGGAACTGCAGGAGTTGCATAGCAACATCAACAACCGCGGTATCGAGGTCGATCAGACTGACGGTACGTTGGACCAACCGTTGAACCCCCCCCCCAGCCATGAAATCTCACCAGCGATGGGTGGTGATTACCATTGCAGAGAATGAGGTCAGCCTGGACGAAGAGGAGGGCGCGGATGAGCCCCGCGAGTTCGCGCTGGTGATCGACGGCAAGGCGCTGTCGCAGTATCTGCCGTCATCGGGTGCCTACAACGAGCTGTCGGCGCGCTTCCTCGAGCTCGCCATGCGCTGCAAGGCCGTCATCTGCTGCCGCGTCTCTCCGCTCCAGAAGGTACACTCGCATTCCTGGTGGGTCAAGGAATGTACTGGCTCACTGATTCCTGGAATGTTTGTGATATGTTTGGGGTGTGCAGTCGTTGGTGGTGAATCTGGTAAAGAAGGGGCTGAAGGCCACTACGCTCTCCATCGGCGACGGAGCCAACGACGTGCCCATGATCCAGGCGGCCAACGTCGGTACGTGATCACCACTCGGCCGCAGGCTTGCAAGCCAAAAGCCACAACGGTATTAACTCACCGCTGGGCGCGCGCTACTCGCATGTTGTGATGATAGGCGTGGGCATCAGCGGCAAGGAGGGCCGTCAGGCCGTCATGGCCGCCGACTACGCCATCGCTCAGTTCCGCTTCCTGGTGCCGTTGCTGCTGGTGCACGGCCAGTGGTCGTACAGGCGCATGTGCAAGCTGGTGCTGTACTCCTTCTGGAAGAACATGCTCTTCGCGATCACCAACATCTGCTTCGGCTTCTACTCTGCCTTCTCGGCCCAGGTACCACCTCCTCCATTTCTCATCGTTGGTGATCAACATCAACATCGTCGTCATCAGACAACATCACGTCTGACCGGCTTTCTCTTCTTTTTCTTGTCGCATAGACGCTGTACGACAGCTGGGTGGTGTCGTTCTACAACATCCTGTTCACGGGCCTGCCCATCTTCCTCGTTGCCGCCTTCGATCAGGTAAGTGTATGCTCGGGTGTGGAGCGAATGACCCTCAATCCAATTCCACTACTAACGCGAGCCGACGTTTTCTTGTGACGCGGCATCGTCGTCGTATGTGTCAACAGCCCATCTCGCGGAAGCAGATCATGGACTATCCGCCGCTCTATCGCAACGGAATCCGCCATCAATCCGTACGCCCCGACTTGTGCGCCTTATTGTGTGCAGTGTGGCAAGTGAAGCTCACTTTCTCTCAATCCATCTCCAGTTCTCGTCGTTCAAGTACTGGCAGTGGCAATTGTGGGCCGTCGTGCAAGCGGTCGTCATTACGATGTTCTCCGTCGCCGCCTGTAGGAACGACATTCTGGTACGTTCAGCCTTTGTGTCATTTCAAATCGCGATCACAGCACTCGGCACCAACTCATGCCCATAACTGGATGGTGGGATGTCGCACAGTTGGGCAGCGGCCAGACGCTGGACGCCTTTGCGCTCGGACTGGAGATCATGACCGCCGTCATCTTGACCGTCAACGCCAAGATCTTCCTCGTCACCAAGTACGCCCTCGCACGCCGCACACACGTCTGCCTCGGTTGCTGATTCAAAAATGACTCCATCATACACAGCACGTGGACGGTGTGGAATCACATCGCGGTGTGGGGCAGCGTGGCGGCGTGGTTCCTGTTCATCATTCTCTACGCGCCCATCCCGACCAGCAACCTGCTGGGTCCCAACCTCATCGGGTGGGTCACCTTCAAGGCCATGTCCTCGGCCTTTTACTGGCTCGGTGCCATCCTCATCACCGCGTGCGCCATCCTCCCCGATCTCGTCTACTGCTAGTACGCCTTCCCTTCTGCACGACTGCACACCACGCGCACAACCGCACACAACGGCACACACAGCACACACCGCATAACACTAACTTGGCGGTGGGGGCAACAGTTTGAGGCGTACCTATCTGCCGGAGAACTATCACGTCATTCAGGAGATGCACCTGCTCAACGAGGAGGACCAGCGCAAGCTGCGTCGCCGGGAGCGCGCCAAGCGCATGCGCCGCAAGCTCACCAGCCTGGTCAAGCGCAGGCGTGTCACCTGTACGTTACTTGTGCCTCCCTCTATTGATCTGTGCGTGTGTGATGTGTGCTCACCACCGCACGCGTGTGCGCACACATACACATAGACACCGGATTCGCGTTCTCGCAGGCGCCCGGCGTGAGAGATGTGATGCTCACACTGGGCCTCGCGCCCGTTCCGTCGGAGAAGAAGGACGACAGTCAGAGGAGGAACAACACGCAACGCGAAGACGAGATGGCCCAGGATGACGAGGAGGTGTTCGACGACACGACTGCCCGTCGCGGCGCCAGGGACGACGAGGCCTTCCACGACGACCTCTCCAACGAACACAACAGCTACTGAACACAACAGCGCTGCCAAAACAATAAACCAAAAAAATGTGTAAATACTATTTCTGTATTGTATCTAATTTTTGTCAACTCCGAACAGCTTGTTGCAAGGCAATAATACCTGCTTCGCCGAATTGCGCACTATTTCGATCAGATTTTATAATCGCGAAACAAGATTGGAAATCAAATCTATTTTCATCAACGAGAGGGGAGAGCGAGTGAATCAAGAGAGAGGAAACGGCACACACTTCGAAGGATGGCGTCCATCTTTCGCGAGACACAGGAGCAGCTCAAGGAGATAATCATCCGAGACATCAAACAGCTGAAGGAGCTGCCGCGGGACATCGTCACCACACCCGACTTCCGCGTGGTCATCCAGGGACACTTCAATGAGGTGCGCCGTCACTGCCCTGTCCCCCCCCTCCGCTTCCTTCTTTTCGAACTGCCTTGTTTCGTTCTTCGCCCCCGCCCCCCGCGCTTCGCTTTCGCTCTTTCTCCTTTTCTAATTCATTTATCATTTCCTTTTATCGTGTCTGTGCGCGTGTGTCGTGTGTGTCGTGCCTGCGTGGTGTGCGTGCGCACGCAGTTTAAAACGACAGCGCTTCACGAGGCCTGCTTCCGAGGGTTCACTCCCAACGTGAAGATACTGGTGGAGCACGGCGCCCCGCTCGATGCCGTACTGTCCATGCCCGCTCTCGCATCCTTTCTCACCATTACCAACTCTTTCTTTTTAACACAGGAAGACACGGTTCGTGTCCCGATTCACGTTATTTGCTTGCGTGTGTGCGTGTGTGCGTGTGTCGTGCTGTGCTGTGTTTCTTTGTTCTTTGAGCTCACGATCACTGCGGATATATCGCTGATGGCCACTGCGTGCAGAAGAAGAGGGTGCGTCGTACTACATACATTCCTCCCCCCTTTTTCCCCCTATCACTTCCTTTTGCGCGCCGCGGCAAAAGTTGAAAGTTGTCTCACTCACTGGCCCAACTCGTTCAACTCTCTGCTTTCCTCAGCGGCCGCTGCACCGAGCAGTCGGGGAGAACAAATTCGAAGCCGCGGCCATCTTGCTGCGAGCAGGAGCCGACCCCAACAGCGTACGCGCACCCCTGACGTCATCTGGGGGAGCTGAACGCTCATTGGAATTTTTCTTCTTCCTCCTCTTGCGGCGCAGGGCGATGGCGACTTGATGACGGCACTGCACCTGGCGTGCGACAAGGGCTTCGAGGAGCTGGCCCGCCTTCTCGTCGAACACAAAGCTGACGTCAGCGCCGTACGCCTCATCGCCTTTTCCTCGAGTTTCTTTTCTCTTTTTTCTTTTTCTTGTTTACCCGTCCGGCTCACCTTCGCGGTTGTCTTTGTCGTGCGAACAGAGAACGGAGGGAGGCGTACGTAGTGCCCTGATCTCGCCCTATCTCACCACTTGCCGGCCACCTACAATTTATGTCTCTCACATTCCATACATTCCTCTCACACACACACGACACTCGATTGCAACGCGCGTGCGTGGATCTCTGGCTCATCAGTGGGTACGCAATGCGGGCATTGCCTAATGATCGATCGCACCTTGATCATCATCCATCACCGCCATCTACAAAGGGGTCTGACCTTCTTTTGTGCTGTAAACACAACACAGACTCCGCTCCACTACGCGGCCAACTCGGGGTCGGAGTACATCTGCCGATTACTCGTCAGCGCCGGTGCGACCGTCAACATCGTACGCCCCCTCCACCACCACCGGCCGGTCGGCAACGTTCACCCGCGTCCACTCGGATTGAGCTGTCGACAACTAATACGCGCGCACCCACGCAAACACGCCACAGGCGGACAGGGTGGGTTGGTCGCCCCTGCACGCGGCCGCGAGCAACGGCAAGGTGGCGGTGGTCAACTTCCTGATCGACCGCGAGGCCGACCTCAACCCCGTATGGGCCTCTCTTAGCCGTTTCTAGCCTCACTCAATCTGGAGCCATTCCTCACCTTTCTTCTTGTTTCCCACTTTCCTCTTCTCATCTTTCACAGAAAGACAAGGTACCGTGGTTGGTTGGTTGGTTGGTTGGTTGGTTGGTTGGTTGGTTGGTTGGTTGGTTGGTTGGTTGGTGGGTGGTTGGTTGCAGTTCGCTGCGTGAAGCTAACGATTGGTCGATCTCTCTCGGTGATGGACATCGATGGCCGTGTGACTAGGACGGGCGAACGCCGCTTCACGTGAGCAAGCCCAGCGCTGTGGCCACACTCATCACCAACGGCGCCGACCCTAACATTGTACGCTATCACCCTCCCGATCACCACCCAATGGTAATTCGTACTGTGCGAGCGCTAATCATTCGCCGAACGATGACCCGTGATTGGCCGGCTGGAACAGTTGAACAATGACGCCATGGTACGTGCTTCTTTCCTTGAATGCCAGCCATTCTCAACGTTGAGGCCTCCAATTGGGCTAACTGGTTGTGTGCAACCACTTGACACGCCAACACACGCAACACGCAACACTCAACAATCCAGAATCCACTGCACAGCGCGTGCAAGAAGGGATTCTCGAATGTCGCACGCGTGCTGGTGTCCATGGGCGCCAACGTGAACCTGGTCCGCGACCTACCTGCCTACTTCGCCTCCTTCCGCTCTTCTTCCTGTCATTGTTCATGTCGCTGACCTGTGGTTATTCCACTTCGCTCCTCCTCCTCTTCTTCACAGCCCGACGGTGTACGGCACTCCACGCTCATGCCGACGCAATCTTGTAATCGTTATATCGTATATATCATGAACTCATATTTTCTGGGCCTGCAGGAGGGCCAAACGCCGCTGGAGATCGTGATCCGATCCGAGCGCAAGCAGTACCAGGACCCGCTGGTCTGCGTTCTGCTCGACGGCGGTGCCGACAGTTCCTCCAAAGAGGTACTTACTTTCCCGCTTTCCTTTGTTGCACGTCAACCACCGGCGTTCGACTTGGGTTGACCGGTCAACGATCGCGAGTTTGCTGAACATCTTTGACCAGATCAAGGCCTGGTTGAGGGAAAAGACTGAGCTGCGGCTGGTCAAGGCCGGCCTCACGACGGTGCCCGACGCCGTCTTCAAGCATTTCAAGAATGTCCGATCGCTCGATCTCTCCGACAACGACATCAACACCCTGCCCACCTGGCTCGCCGACTTCAAGCTCGAGGTCCGTCCAGTTTTTGACACAACCTTCTCTCTTTCGTCATTGGCTTATTTTATGTTTTATATTTTTTTAATTTGACGTGATTCGGCAGAGCCTGCGCCTGAACGGAAACCCTCTCCAATCGATCCCGGCCGAGGTGTTGGACGCCCGGCATGAATCGGACCTCATCCGGTCCCTGCAGGTGCGCCATCTTCGCTTGATTGGCAACACACACACACACGACAAACACACGGATGTGTGTCACGGACGCCACTGATTCTGTAATTTATCATCGCTCTCGCAGACCTACCTGCAATTGCTGAAGAACTCGACAATGGGCTGGTCGCGCATCAAGCTCATGTTCGTCGGCCGAGAGTGCGTCGGGAAGACTTCCCTCCTCAAATCCTTCAGCCGACTCCTCTCGGTACATTGCTGGCCTCTCACTCTCACTACTGGGCGTGTCGTGTGCGTCGTGTGCGTCGTGCGTGTCGTGTGCCAACTTCTCACGCTGATTCCACGCAACAGGGCAAGGAGAAGCAGAAGGGTCCCAAGGGCAAGCTCCTCTCCACGGATGGCATCGACATCTCCGAGCTGGACGTCCCCGACAAGTTCAAAAAGGGCAATGTCGACCTAAAGAGTCTTCGGTACATTTCTTCACACGTCGCTCTTCGTTCTTTTTCGAGCTCTTCGCTCTTCGTTTTTCAACATATTTCTTTTCTTTTCTTTTTAATTATCATGGGTTTGTTAAAATATTAAATTTGTTAATTCAATTTTTGCATGTGCAGGTTTCAGTGCTATGATTTTGGCGGGCAGGTGATCTTCTACCCCACGCACCAGTTCTTCCTGACGGCCCACTCCATCTACCTCGTGTGCTTCAACGCCAGCACCGAGGACCTCTCCCCCATTCACTATTGGCTCAACCAGGTACCCATGCTCATATTACCCCGCGCGCACACATGCACGCACGCACACACGCACGCACACGCACACACGCACACGCACACGCATCACCGCACCTGCTAAACCTCGGCTGCTAGGTCAAGGCATCTACGCACAGCGTGGAGGTGCCGGTGATCATCGTGGGCACCCACATCGACCACCCTAGCGTCGACCGCGAGACTCTGCCCTATCTCGCCAAGAAACTGCGCGCGTACCGCCTCGCTCCCGTCCATCGATTCTCTTTCTCGCGCAACCCTGCTCACCGCAATCGTACGCGTGTCGTGCGTGCCGTGTGCTGTGTGCGTGCCGTGCCATGTGTGCCGTCCATGGTTTGTTTTTATGTTGTAAAGAATGGACGGGAATGTGCGCGAGGTGATGTTCGTGAGCACGAAGACGATGGAGAACGTGCCGGAGCTGATCGAGAAGCTGATCGAGCTGGCCTCCCGGCACTCCTTCCTCAAGAAGCAGATCCCCAAGGCCTACTACGACCTCCACGAGGCCGTCATCAAGCTCCGGCCCTCCCCCGAGGGCGCCGCCACCGGCAAGACCGGCACCAGCACCAGCTCCACCAACCCCCTCTCCTCCGGCCTCTCTGGCAGGTACCATACCGCACACACCGCACACGCACCACCGCACACGCGACACTAACGGTGTGTGTGTGTGTGTGTGTGTGTGTGTGTGTGTGTGTGTGTGTGTGTGTGTGTGTGTGTGTGTGTGCGTGTGTGTGTGTGTGTGTGTGTGTGTGGTGTGTGTGTGTGTTCGTGTGTCCGTGTGTGGTGATCGGTCGAGAGCAGGGGAAGTGGGAGCACGATGCAGAGCCAGCAGAGCCGCACGGGGAGCGGGTCGATGGTGTCGGGAGCGAGTCGCGTCGGCAGCGGGGCGGGCACCAACCAGGCGTCGCCCACCTCCGCCGCCGAGAAGCCCAAGGAGGTGGGCCGCAACTACCTCAAGTGGAACGACATGGTCTACCTGGTTCGTATTCTCGTGTGCGTGCGGCGTGTGCGGTGCGTGTGACTCACGAGGGGGCGGGGAATGAAAATGGTGATGCAGGGACGCAAGTGTGGCATTGAAGAGGAACAGCTTCCGGAGGTGGTGCGGTTCCTGCACAACGTGGGCGCGGTCATCCACTTCAACGATGCCTTTGGCGATCTCTCCGACCTCGTCATCATCAACCCCCAGTGGCTTGCTTCGGTAATTTCTTTATCTTCTCGCACGACACGACACGACACGACACGACACGACCAGCGAACACGACACGACCAACGACACGACACACGACACACGATACTAACGCGGATGATGGATCTGCAGGTCATGAAAACGGTGGTGTCGTTTAGTAACACGTGGTGCAAGAACGGCATGATCAGCGAGGGCGATCTCCATTCGTGGGTGTGGCGCGAGTATCCCGCGCACCTCCACCGCAATATGCAGCGCATCTTTGAGAAATTCCAGGCACGCAACCACACACGCTCCCGCTCAAGCAGGCGTTCGTCATCGGTGGCTGCTTGGCATTCCTTCTCTGATCTTTGAATTCTTTTATTATTATTATTATATTCGATAATTTGCGCAGGTGGTGTACCCGCTGCGTGGTGAGGGCAACGACGACGCGGTCAAGGGCCAGGACCTCATGGTCCCATCGCTCCTCCCCGAGACCTGCCCCGAACAGCGCTTCGAAGACCATTGGCCTCCCTTGGACGTGCTCCAGAAACAACTCGGTATCCACGCACGCATCGCCACACACACACACACACACACACACACCGTCGCACACGCACACGCAGCACAGTGTTGGATCTGACGTATTGTTTGTTTGCGGCAGGTGCTGATGTGGAGATCGGAGTGTTCGCGCGACAGTACGAGGTGGAGTTCGTGCCGCTGGGCGTCTTCTCGCGTCTCATGGTGCGCGCACTCCACGTGTCCCACGCTCGGCTCCTCGTCCCCTGGCGATACGGCTACATTGTCCATCTCGTACGCCATCTGCTCAACCACACGACACTCACCGCACTCACCGCACTCACCGCACTCACCGCACTCACCGCACTCACCGCACACACCTCACTATTGGATGGATGGGCAGGACAAGCCGGCTGCGGGCGTGGTGCAGGAGCGAGCACTCGTGCGCCAGCTGGCGGTGCAGGGAAGTGCGTCGGCGGGGCGGTTTGAGGTGATCACCCGCGTGGCGGTCAAGAAATCGACCAACCCCTCCTTCAAGCGACCGCGTGTCGTGCTCCTCGCAGAGCTCACGCTCGCCATCGACACCCTCCTCCAGGCCTATCCCGGTACCACTACACCCGTGTGCGGTGGCGTGTGCGGCGCGCCTGGCTGACAGCGACGACAGGAATGGATGTGAAGAAGCTGGTGCCGTGCCTGCTCGAGCCGCAGGACAGCGCCCTGGCGTCGTCGACCGCCGAGCTGCCCGCCGGGCACGTGCTGCCCTATGCCAAGTGCATCGAGGCGGTGGTCACGGGCCAGCCGATCCCCTGCGGCCCTGCGCTCGGCCGCGATCTGCGCGTGCACGAGGTGGCCCCCGACCTGGCCATGGGCAGCGTCAAAGTCCTCGCCTCTGACCAGGTACGTCGAAGCTTACGTCGTCCGCCTTAAAAAACCAGCACCGCCACCTTAACCATAACTGCTGCTTGTCACACCGCCACCTTAAACCCGCCTGTGATCTGTGTGACACACAGCTGGTGGTGGAGAAGGAGGTGGGGCGCGGAGGCTTCGGCGCCGTGTTCAAGGGGACCTGGCAGGGGCGGCCGGTGGCCATCAAGCAGCTCCACGCCGACCTCCTCGACGAAAAGAACCAACAAAAATTCGACGAATTCAAGCAAGAGGTCTATCTCATGAAGTACGTGTGTGCGGTGCGTGTCGTGCGTGTTGTGCGTGTCGTGGTGTGTGTAGTGTGCTGACGCTCTAATGGCACGCACGCACAGCTGTTTGAATCAGGAGAACATCGTGCGGCTGTACGGCATCTCGCAGCAGCCGCTGAGCATGGTGATGGAGTTCGTGCCGTCGGGCGACCTGCGCCACCTGCTGGAGCCCTACTTGAAGGCCAAGGTGGTGTGCAAGCACGACTTCAACCAGCACGCCTCCATCTTCCGGTCTCAGCTCCAGGGCCGCGAGCGGGAGCTCGCCATGGACGTCGCCGCCGACGACGTCGTGCTCATCCACAAGGAGGAGGGTCCGCTCTGCTTCATCGAGACCAGCCGCTCCGAACGCGGTACCTCCGTCTAGCCGTGTGTGTCGTGTGTAGTGTCGTGCAGTGGTGGATGACTGTGTGTTCGCATGCAGGGCTGTTCCCGGTGGCGTGTCTGAAGAAGCGGGCGCAGCCGTTGGGCGATGCGCAGATCCCGTGGTCCCTCCGATGGAAGATCGCACTCGACATCGCCAAGGGTGCGCGCCACACACACACACACACACACACACACACACATTTCTTCCTTCATTCGTAAATGCGTCTTTATTTTATTTATATGGGTGCGGTTACGTCTGTTGTAATGGCGCAGGTATGAAGTATCTGCATTCCTTCAAGCCTCCGATCGTCCATCGCGATCTGCGTTCCCCCAATGTTTTTGTACGCGCCACATTGTGTCGTAGCGTGTGCGTGTGCGGTGGTGCATGTGCGTGCCTGGGCGGTGGCTTACGAACGAGTATGCGTGCGACCGTGATGTCCATAACAGATGATGAATTACGACGCCAACGAGAAGGTGACTGCCAAGGTGGGCGATTTCGGCCTTGCGCGACACGTCGACCCCAAACTCTACGAGGCCCTCGGCACCTGGCAGTGGCTCGCCCCCGGTACCCACGACACGCACACGCACCATCGCACCATCGCACACGTCTAACGCTCTAATTTTTCGTCGTGTCGGGCGCAGAGGTGCTGAGGGACGACAGCGAGTACGACGAGCGTAGCGACATCTACAGCTACGGCATCGTCCTGTACGAGATCGCGTCGCGCCTGACCCCCTTTGTCGACGAATATTGGTTCCGGTTCCTCCGCAACAACTACTTCCAGAAGATGGACTGCATCCGCGCCATCATCAACGACGGTACACAACACGCACCGCACGACACACACGACCAACGACACGACACACACGACACACAAGACGACACAGTACGACATTGAAGTCTAATGGCGACGTGCGTGCGGTGCCAGGCTGTCGACCCACGCCGCCGCTGCCGCACCTGTGCCCGAAGGAGTTCTCGACCCTGATGAAGGAGTGCTGGCATGACGATCCGGCGCTGCGCCCGTCGTTTGCAGAGATCGTGGAGCGGATCACGCGGCACCTGGGCCAGAACGACGACGACATCAGCTTCAACCTCAGCCCGACCCCGTTCGGCTTCTCGGCAACGTCGTCGACGTCGTTGCCCTCGTTGGGCTCCTCGTTGGCCCTGCCCACGGTGTCGACAACCGCGCCTACCACGTCATCATTGCCTTCTGCCACGTCAGCAACAGCGACAGCCGCGGCCACGAAGAACGGCAGCGACTCAAAGCAAGGAGAGAAAGAGAAAGAGAAGGAAAAAGCGAAAGAGAAAGAGAAGGAAAGGGAGGGGGAGGGGGCAAGAAAGAGAGAAGGCGGAGAGAACGGAGGCAATGGGGCCAAGGAGGAGGAGGCTCCCAAGATGTTCGTGTGGAAGGACACCATACGACGCGCGCCCAACCCTTCCGTCCAGTGCTTCCTCAAGGTCGACAATCAGGTTGGCACCCTCACTCTCTCACTCTCACTCTCACTCTCTCACGGCTCATCGCCCTTCCACAAATCTCATCGTGTACCGTGTGTCGTGTTACGTCGCGTGTACCATTGTCAGGTGTGGGTGGGTGACGGCTACGGCAAGGCAATTTTGTACAGCCACATCGTACGTCTCAGCTCTCTGCTGGCTGGGTCCAGCAGCGATTGACCTGGCAAGTGGTGGTACTTTGGGCGGGGGTGTAGTCTGGGCTGCAGCAGGACGAGTTCCAGGCGGCGCGCAAGAGGGCGCAGATCAATGGACTCATCGCTGTCGACGATACCGTGTGGGCCGCCACCGACACTCTCATCCGCATCTACCAGCTCAAGAAAAAGGTTCGGACACACCACCGCACACACCGCACACACCGCACACACCGCACACACCGCACACACCGCACACACCGCACACACCGCACACACCGCACACACCGCACACACCGCACACGGCTGACGTTTGTGTTGGTGACGTGTTGCGCGCAACACAGAAAAACAAGCAGGAGTGGAAGAAAGTGAAGACGCTCAAGAGGCACAAGAAGCTCATCTCTGGCATGCTCGCCGTGCCCGATCTGTCGGGCGGCGTGCAGGTGTGGACGTGCGACATCGCCGGCACCATTCTCACCTGGAACACCAAGGCACGCCCACACCGCACACACCACATGTTTTGGGAAACGGCTGACACGACACGACCAACGACACGACCAACGACACGACACGACCAACGACACGATACAACAAATCGCACACGCACTACCGCACACGCACACGCGCCCACACGCCGCACACAGAAACGAAAGGACGAGCGGGAGTTGATCGTGAAGGAGGACGAGTCGATCTACTCCATGTGCGTGGTGGACAACTGCAGCGTGTGGATTGGTGGCATGACCGACCTCTTCCGCGTCAACCTCCAGGTCAGATATTTATATACATACACACACGCACGACACACACGACACACACGACACACTCGACACACACACACACACACACACACGACACACACGACACACTCGACACACACACACACACACGACACACACACACACACACACACACACACAAATCGCACACGCACCCGCGCTAACGGTAAATGTTGCTGGGTGTGCGCGCGCGTGTGCTACAGACGTGGGAGATGATGCACTGGCGGGCACACGACCAGGCCATCACCGGCATCGTGTGGGAACCCAACCAGAAGCTGGTCTGGACCACCTCGCATGACCGCAAACTCAAGGTTCGTGCGCATGCGTGTTGTGTGTGTGCGTGTGTGCGTGTGTGTCAATGCGCCCGGCCTTACTTTGGTTCGGGTGTGTGTGTGCGATGCAGGTGTGGCAGCAGGCGAGCGGCATGGCGTCGCCGGGGCTCGTGGTGTGCGAGATCGACGTCGGGCGGAGCTACGGCATTTCCCTCTCGGCGCCTCTCGTGGCTTCGCAGCCTTTCGTTTGCGTCGGCCATCGCGACGGCACCGTCTCCGTTTGGGATGCCAAGGTACCCACACGACACGTACGACACGACACACATGACACGCACACACGCACACAACGACACACATTGTTTCTAACCGCGGTGGGGCAGACGCATCGCAAGTTGAGCGAGTGGCAGGCGCACGGCAACGACGTGCAGGCCATGCAGTACGTGGTGGACCGCAAGGACAACGACGCGGGCTACCTGTGGACCGGTGCCCTCGACGGCACCCTCTCCGTGTGGGCGCAGAACATGCGCTTCCGCTCCGTCTGAGGTGTGAGTTTCTGCACCTACAAAAAACCCTCCAATGAGCTGCACAGATATTTTTAGACAACGAATCGCAACCTGCACTCTTCCTGGCCGAACAAAAACCAACAAACAAGACAAAAGGGAAGAGAATGGAGTGCAACTTGGTGGTGGTGGGTCACCCAGGCGTGGGCAAGTCGTGCCTCACCATTCGCTTCGTGACCAACCATTTCCTGGAGGAGTACGACCCCTCCATCGAGGACTCCTACCGCAAGCGGGCGAGCATCGACGACGAGTCCTGCCTGCTCGACGTCCTCGACACGGCACCTCTGGACCAGGAAGAGTACAGGTCTGTTTTTGATAGAAAAAAACTGAATAACATCACGCATAGTAGTAGTGCATGTATAGATGACAGACTGACCATGTTTGTTTGGGTTTGTTCGACTAGTTATAGGAGAGACCGGGCCTTCACCAAGGGTCAGGGCTTCGTGTGTGTCTACGACATAACCTCGCGCGAGTCCTTCGACGAGGTGAGGGACCACTACTATGGAACACCGTGGTGGTGGGCAACAAGTGCGAAGGCCGACATGAACGTGCAGGAGTGCTTCTTTGCCGCCGTCCGCGAGATCCGTCGGCTCAACAACAACGACAACAAGAGCGCGAATGCCAACGACGCCGTTTCCAAAGGCGGCAAAGCCCAGCACTGTTGCCTCTCGTGATGTAAAACAGAGTACTCCGATTTTCGATTGAAGGTCACCTGTGGCGGGCTTCTCAGCTGAGGAGGCAGGTGCTCTTCATGGCGGCCTTGCGGAGAGAGCCGCGGGCGGCCGACCATCCAGTGGCGGTGGCAGTGGCAGTGGCGGTGTTGTCGTCGGCGAAGCCCTTGCGTGGCTCGAGTCGGGAGGCCTTCCACAGGCCGTACTTGACCGCATTCACGAGCATCACCATGACGTCGTTCCTGAAGTCACCGTCATCGCTCCCCTTTGTCTTCTTTTGCTTCTCCTCCTTGCCCTCCACCTCCACCTTCTCTTCTGTTTCTTCTTCCACTTCATCTTCGTCGCGCTGCTGCTTCTGCTCGCCGGCTTGATCCTGGGGCGCGTCTGCGTCTGCGTCGCCGTCGATGCGGGCGAGAACCGTCTGCCAGGGATTGTCCTCTTGGCTCACCGACCTACACGAACCACCGCACACACGATACACAAGACACGACACGACACGACACGACACGACCAACGACACGACACTACGAGTGAGCAAGTGCGGGCGGTGTGGGTGTGGAGAAAGGATACGCACCGGAGGAGGGTGGTTAGCTCGGGCGGGATCGCCATGCCACCGCCGAAAAGGTCTCCGGCGTCGTCGTCGTCGTCGTCGTTGGCGGCGGCGGTAGGTGTGGCGGCGGCGGCCTCCGGGACAGTGTCGTCACCGCCCATCGCGTCGTCGCCCTCCGCCGTCTGGTACCTAACCAATCAACGCACGCACTAAGTCGATACAGTTTTGCTTTTGTTTTGCTGTGTTTTCGGTTGGGGTCGGCACGCAAGAGGAATGCTGCAGTGCAACAACCGTTGTTCGTGTGTTTGATTGCGTGTGTGACGAACCTGACGGTGAGCCGGTCCATGAATTGCTGCATCCACGCCTGCGCGGAACTGTTGTCCTCCCGACCCATCCACCCTACGCAACACACCGCACGCACGCACGCACGCACGCACACACACACACACACACACACACAACCCGGATGAGCACGAAATGTGCACGACGGATTGCTTTCCTGCGGGCGGGGGGAATTGTGCGTACCTCGCCCGCTGGCGGCCCAACCGCCGTCGCCAATGTCGGAGGACGGCGGGAAGAAGTTGACGGCGATGACGGTCCCTTTCTTGGCCTTCAGGCGCGCCATCGCCGGGGTCTTGTCCGACCACCGCCCCATCACCTTCGCCTTCGCGTGCGCTTGTCCCACTCCTGCTCACCGCACACACTGTCAGACACGACCAACGACCGACGACCGACGACCGACGACCGACGACCGACGACGACACGCACAAGACACGACGCGCAGAGGAGGACTGAAGTACCGTGGTAGGAGACGAAGGCCCGGCGCACGCCGGTGAGGAGGTGGTGGTCGCGGCCCTCGGACTCGGGGCCGAGCTCGACGTGGAGCGAGGTCTGGCCGTCGAGCGCGATGGGGAAGTAGTTGTCCTTTGCCCAGCGTCCGCCGGGCGACTCGCCCACGTTGCACGTCGCAAACGCCAGCAGCACCACGCCTGCACATATCACGCCACCGTCAGCACGACACACGCGACACAAGACACGACACAAGACACGACACACGACGACACACGTACTGCCGCCGGCGTCGACGAAGTCGGCCATGTGGTTGCCGATCGTGGCACGCACCGCTGGGTCTCCGCCAGCCTGGCGGTTGCACGACAGAGATATATAAATTCGTACATATAAACAAAGTCGTGAGAGTGTGTCCGCGCGAAAAAATGTTGCGGCGTACGCACGATGTTGGCGAAGAAGAGGACGACGGAGTGGTGCTTGAAGTGGTCGACGAGCTCTTCCTCCCATCCCTTGTGCGGGCCGCTCCCACCGTAGGGCTGCTGGATGATGCACGTGGAATTCACCTGCGTGCGCCAACACATTACAGACACAGACACGCACACACGCACACACGCACACACGCACACACGCACACACGCACACACGCACAAAGATCACATCGCACACATCGCACACAAAGATTAGAAAAGGGCGTGTGAATCATTAATAATGATTAGTATTGTTGTGGGTGATGTGCGCAGGAGGTACCTTGATGCCGTGGGCGTAGAGTTTGTCGACCACATCCGCAGCGTACGGCAGCGAATTGCTGCCCACCATGAACACCAGGCACACGCCCTCCTATACACACATCGCACACACGACACACGCGACACACACGACACACGCGACATCGCACACGCATACAACACACGTCGCACCCCATACAACACGCACACGCATTAGTGAGTGTTCGAATCCAGCTCGCTGTGGCGGCGATGGGACCGACCTTCATGCGGAGGCGGCGCTGGTAGCAGGTGCGCCACACGTGGAGCGTGCCGGCCGGCAGCTCGCGGCGTATGCGGGCCATCTCGTCCTCCTCCAGCCGCCGCTCGTCGGCCTCGCGCTCGACCGCGTCGGCCCGCATCAGCGCCACCGCCTTCTTCCGGGCTCGCTCGCGCGTCTCGGCCTCGCCTACGTAGCCGGCATCATCATCATCGTCGTCATCATTGTCATCGTCTTCTCCATGTTCGCCGGTGTCGCCCTTGGCCGCGGTGCGGACGGGGCGACGGGCGACGGGCCAGGCCGGCTGGCGGGCAAAGGGCGGGGCCTGCAGGTGGGCGCCGTGCCGGTGGACGAAGCGGCGCAGGTAGAGGCCCCGCCAGAAGGCGTCCTGCTCGACCACCCCGTGCCATACGCGGCTCACCCGCGCCAACGACGGCACGTCCCCCACCTCCACGAACTGGTAACAGAGAATTATCAATTATCAATTATTATTATATTATTATTTATGTTATTTACAATTATTATTTAAGTATTGAATAGAAACGAGAAAGGACAATAAGATCAATTATGGAGAAAGTACCGAGGCGATGTGGAGGTAGACTTCAGCAGGCAACACCTCAAAGGGATCTGTCATCACCTGATGCTCTTCTTGGGTCTTCTTGCTTTGCTTCTGTCTGAAAAAATTAACTTTCAGTAAAAAATGCGCATAATTTATTTTTTCTTTTTCTTTTCTTGTTTTTTCTCTTTTATCTGGGCACTGTGATTCATCCAAATGGCCGAGATGGAGGCAAGACCCACGTCCAGCTCGAGGGGCTCGGAGGACAAGAGCCGAGGGGACAGAGAGCGAGACAGCAACCGGAGGGACAGGGACCGACGCGACGATGACGACCGCAGCCACAGGAAGAGCAAGGTAGTCAATCCATCATCCATTCAATTACGCCCGTGTGTGCCTCGTTTGTATGATTGATTTTTAATTATATATTGGTTTTTTTACTATTTTACAATATTTATTCTCTCCAGCGATCGCGAGATGAAGACGACCACAAGAAGAGCGTGGACAGGAGTCGGCGCTCGTCTTCCTCGTCCTCCAAACGACAGCCGCCGGTCACGCTCGCCTTCCTCCTCCGACTCCGACTCATCTTCGTCGTCGTCGTCGTCGATCGCAAGCGCCGCCGACACAGGCGCAGGCGATCCTCTTCCTCGCCTGACTCTTCTTCCGACTCATCGTCTTCTTCGTCGGACGAGGGCTCGCGCAAGCGGAAGCGCCGCAGCAGCGGAAGCAGCAGCAAGAGGGACCAGAGCGATGACGACGAAGAGAGGAAGGAGCGCAGGAAGCGGCGGCGCGAGAAGAAGGAGAAGCGTCGCGAGAAGCGGCGAAAGGAGAAGAAGGACAAGAAGAAGGACCGCAAGAAGAAGGAGGACAAGAAGCGGGAGAAGGAGGGCAAGAAGGGCGCCTGCAAGCAGTGGGGCTTCTACGGCGTCGTGCGCGAGGCCGACATGTTCTTCAAGGATCCCGTACGTGTGTCGTGTGTCGTGTGCGGTGTGCGTGTGCGGTGTATGTGTGTGGCGCGTGTGTTGTGTGGCGCGTGTGTTGTGTGTGCGAGTTTTTGCAATTGCTAAAGGTCAGGGCAAAACAGGAGTTCTCGTGCTACCTGCGCGAGGTGAAGAAGATCGAACCCGAAGTCCTGAGCAACTTTGACAGGAAGAAGTACTGGAAGGACTACATGGAAGGTACACGACACACACACACACTCACACACACACTCACGCGCTCACCGCACTCACGTGAATCGTGCACGCGACTTCTTTATTTATTCATTTATCTATTATTTATTAGATTTCAACACGTGCACGATGCCCTCCAAGAAGTTCTACGACCTTGCCCAGTGGGAAGCACGCCAAGCCATCAAGCGCCAGCGCAAGTACGTTCCATCGCCGTTGCACACGACCAACGACACGACACGACACGACACGACACGACACGACACGACACGACACGACACGCACACACGCGCAGCCATGTGATCGTGCGGGGCACCGTTTCTGACTCGATCGCTCGTGCTGATGCGCTCTGCGGAACAACCAGGGGTCTCGGCGCCGCGCAGGAGCAGGTGAAGGACGAGGACGCGCTGCTTGAGCGGAAGAAGAAGGAGCGAGAGGAGAAGGCATTCCGGGACGCCTACCGGTACGTGTTCCTCCTCTCAAGCTCTCTCCTGCGTGTTGTGTGCGTGCCGGTGCGCACCGGGATGGTCGCGGTCCTGTTCTGTGGTGTGGGGCTCCACCGCTGCGCTGGTCTCACCCTTTTGGGTACACGCGTGCAGCAACGCGCGCATGGAGAAGCAGCTGCAGGAGATCGCAAAGAAGGAGGGCAAGGTCTACATTCCGCCCGTCTGATCCGTTGCCTTGCCGTTGTGGTGGCCATCGAAGCAGCTCGTCCTTTGCAACGACAACAACGACAACGACAACGACAACGACAACGACAACGACAACCAGTAAAGAGTCACTTGCGTGTTTTGTGAGGCGCAGTGCTCGTGTCGGTGTGTGTACAACCACGGCGGCCTAATTCTCCCAGGATTTGGTGAGGAAGGGGTGGTCCAGGGCCTGGGCAGCGGTGAGGCGAGCGTCGACAGAGCGGCACGTGAGCCTGTGCAGCAGGTCCAGTGCTTCCCCGTTCATGTCCTGGTTCAGCGGTCCTCGCTGCCACTCCCCAGCTGCACATTCACTACTGCAAATTGGTTTGGTTCACCACCAAAGTCAGCGGTGGTACGTATCATCACGGGAGAGGGAGTGGGGGGATGTGTGACACCCGTAGTAGCCCAATTCGTTGAGGAAACCCACAAAGCGAGCCAGGCGCTGTCTGTGCGTCTTGTACTTGCTCGTATCGGTCATCAGCTCCTCGAGAAGAACAACGATTGCTCTCGTGTCTCGCTGGCTTTCCGACCCGATGTCATCCCCTGCGAGAAGCGCGAGCATGATGATCCCCGCCGCAAACATGTCCAATGCGCCGCGTGGCGTGTTCTTTACCACGGCCTGGAAGGAGAGAGACTGGGTCTCAGCGCCAGGCACCTCCGCGGTGTCGCAAGTGTATGCGGGGCAGGGTTACCCGTGTCCCGGCGAAATCGAGGCGTTGGCACTCGAGCGGCATGTAGCCGGAGGTGTAGCAACCGGTGTCTAGATAAGTCTCGTCACCACCATATTGGTAGGCGAACTCAAAGTCAATCAGCTTCACAACCACCTCTGTATGAGCAAGTGGAGTGAGAGCCTGGTCATGTGCCATGTGCAGAGCTTCTGTGACGGTGTGGCGTACCGTTCGAGTCCGTGGTGGAGGCGAGCATGTTGGCCAGCTTGATGTCCTTGTGAAGGAACCCAGCCCTGTGCAAGCATGCCAATGTCTGTGTTTTGATGGAGATATGTCTTGGTAGTCAACAGATGAGGATTCGATGGCCACATTGGGGTGAGTACCTTGCAGAGGCCCTTCATGATTGATGCGACTTCAGCCAGGGACTGTGGCATGTAGTCCGTTCATGACTACAGGTATCACACCAGTGCTCCTTGGGCACTGGTGTGACAAGACCACGGGGGACTGGGTGATCGAATTGGAGTACTGGCCAACAAAGCAAGACACGTAAGTACACGTGTGGCTATGGCTCAAGGTGGTGAGGAGAAGTGTGCCATGGTCGTGCAGGAGAGTGTAAGCCTGGACCTCACACTCGTAGAGGTCATACGCCGAGGTGTAGTATGTCTTGTGCACCACATGCGTTCCATCCTCCCTCTGCCTTAGCTCCACTATGTCGTCGGGCCTCTGAGGGTGGAGAAAATAAATGAGGCTTGACACGGACAACGCGTGAGGTGTCGTGGTACATACATCTGATAGTACTGCCTGGACAGCAGAGACACTGGGTCCCTCCTCCTGATCGTTGCACGCCCCCTGCGCGTTTTCGCCCATGTACGCCGCATCACCCTGATGCCACAAGTGGACAACTGTTGGCCAGGGACTTTCATGGTCGATTGCATAGGGGAGATCTCGCCGATAATATTTGTGTACACCAAGATCATCAAAGTAGTCTCATTGTTCTGGATGCATGAGAGCCTCTGGGTGCCTCGGACGCTCAGCATAACATTAATATTAATGGACGGGGAAAAGGCAACATACCTGTTGAGACCCACCTAACGGTGCTGGTACGGCGTTGGATGGTTGCGCAAGCCATTGGATCAAGCGGTCGTAGATGGTAGGCACAGTGCCCTTATGCGCGTCTGAATTGACATGCAACCTTCTGAAGTCAGGTTGGGAATTATTGGGAGCACCTCCAGACACCCCAGGCAGGGTTGGGAAGGCGTTATCTGACGGCCTGCAGTGAGAGTAAGGAGTAAGTAAATTGGTTTTGCAAATGGAAGGGGGGGGGGGCAAGGCACCAGCCCCGGTGCCGTGCATCGCGAATTTGCTTGCACGGCCGGTTTGGTGACATTTTTCTTTTTTGGCGGACTGTCGGCCCCGCAGCCGCCCAGCGCTCTGGGCTTGCGTGGTCCATCTGTTGAGGTATCACGTTGATGGAAAGATAGAGAGCTCAGGAGCGCCTCTGTATTTATTATCTAGATATGTGTATGACACAGTCACGGGCGTTGGTCGGTTGATGTCAGATTGACGGGTCACTGTCCCTGTGATTGGTGTCGTCCAGCAACAAGGCGTTGGGGGGGGGGGCATGAACGCCTCGCCCTTGAGTTCCACCAGAAATACGCGCAGCAAGCCAAAGGGGCCGCAAGGCCGGTGCAAGCTGATGCGTACCGCCAATCTGTCGGTCCGGGTACGGGAGAGGCAGGTTGGCGAGCTTGCGGGTGGCGAGCGTGTACTTACGAGGAGGGCGTTGTGGGCTGGCCCCGATCAATGACGGGCATGTTGTGCGCAGAGACAAAAGCGTAGGTGGACAGATCTTGATGAGGGGTAGTAACACCGCCCCCCCCCCGCTACTTAGGGGTGGGCCGCTAGTCGAGCTTGAAATACATGGCGCACAGGGTGCTGGTGGAGGTCGCCGTTGATCACAAGCTTGCCGCCAGCGGTGCACGCGGGCGATTAGGCTGCTGCGCAGGTGCAGGACGCCGCGGGTCTGCTTGCACCCCTGCTGCAGCTCGACCCTGACTGATCTGCGCCAGGCGGGCGATGCGCACACACGACTGTCTGTCAACGTCGGCCTCATCACCATCGTTCAGACTGTCACGATGTGCGCATCACGGTCGATGCGCACATCGTGACAGTCGTGACGCACGGGCGATGCGCATCGTGACAGTCTGAACGATGGTGATGAGGCCGACGTTGGCTATGGGACGTGGAGGTCGAGCAGCGGCAGCCGCAGGTGACTGCCTGCACCGCCTGGGACACGGTCCAACCCACGGCCCATGTCTTTGGTGATGGTGGCGTTGGCCTGCAGGTTGATAATGCCACCGACCAAGGGGAGTGATTATGAACAACCACTGAAACTGTTGAACTTAGAGCCATTCACAACCAGGGCGCCATTGCATTCAATAGGTGGATGTAAATACTTGCAGACAAATTCCCACAAATACTCTAAGTACTATAAATCCATACACCACAATGACCATGCACCGACGCAAAAATTCCCTGGAAAAGCGCCAATCAGGCGTGCACCAATGCACTGTTTACTCAGCATGGGCTATATATACATCGCTTTTAGGAAAGGGGGTGGGGATGGGTGGCTGCCCAAGCCTATGGCATAATATCACAAGCTCACCCTCTGCGAGCCTCTTGGATTCCCAACGCCCACCACCCGTTGCCCTCATGCCTGGATCAACCGCGCAATGCGTCAACGTGTGGAAACCTCGCTTACCGGAAAAAACCCAGCAGCGATACCAAAATTGTACGCGGAGGGGCAAGGGTGTACTTGTTCTTCGTGGTGACGACGGCAATGGACGCCCTGCCCGAGGAGTTGTGGATGACGGTGCTGGGGTTCTTGGACGTGCCCGCACTGGTGCATTTGCGGCTCACGAACGTCTTCCTGCGGCGGCTGGCCCTCGACGACAGGTGGGCGCGGAAGGTGGCCGCCTACCGCCGCACGGCCGACTACCTACGCAAGCGGAGGCGGGCCATGGTGCAGCACTACGGCCCCGACTTCCGCCCGTGCCAGTGGACACGTGACTCGGCCATAGGCCCTCGGCCAGCCTTGCCCCCGACGACCTGGAGTACTAGCGAGCCATAAAATCAAAATAATGAATAAAGCACAAATAAAATAAATAGAAATAATAAAATGCAAGCAGATGGCGATTGTCAATGCTCTTCATTCCAACTGGCCATGGCTGAGCTCGCATGGCTGAGCTCCTCTTCAATTTCCCACTCCCCTACACCATAAGACTGGGAGATTTGGGTCGAGTAGCATGGGTGGCCCAACGACTGGGGCATGCGGGCCAAGGCGACCATCTGCCGCCGGTAGGCTCCACTGTCCTCCTCTTCCACCGAACCGCCGTGGGGGCGGTAGTCCGCAGCATGCCCGGTTACGCTCTCCTCTTGCCGCATCATCTCTTCCGCCGCCATCGGCGAAGGAGGAGGTGAAGCAGAAGCAGGCGATAGCGTCTCCAACCGCTCTGGCCAGCAGCCTGCAGATGTTATGTATGAGTAAAACTGTCTGGTGCTGTTGCACTGCACCTCACCCAAAGAGGCGATAGCGAAGGAGGCAAGTACCAATTTCCTCACACACTTGCGCCAGAGGAAGAAGAGTGGGCTGTGCGGTGGCGAGGTGTGGCCGCTTGTGCTTTCGGTCTTTGCGCACGGCCACGGACGCAAGAAGGTGTCGTTGGCGCGGCTGCACTTGGGGAGTCGACGAGGAGAGGGAAGACGGAGAGAAGAGGGTGAGCGAGCGCGCGGTGAGGTGTCGGCCCAGCATTGGTGCTGGGGGGGGGAGGTGAGGTGTGTATGTGAGTGGCGAGGAGGTTGGAATGGTGGTTCTCGCCATCTCTGCATTTTTAGAGTGGCGACACGTCCGTGCTGCAAGCGGTCGAGCTCCCGACCGAAGCGCCTGCTTTCGCCACGGCGTCAGACAAAATTGCATCGAAACCTCGGAGTTGCGGAAATATCTCATTTAGATATCTATCTAAATCAAAAATGAAGTTTCCGAAAAGCGTTTCAAGTTTCAGGGAAGCCATCTGGGAACACTCTTCAGTGAGGCTGCTGGCATGTCAAGCATTTGGCAATTACCGTTGCGCGCTTTTTTCGTCCTTTCTTGCCGGTGTGTGAATTCTCAATCTTCGTCTCGATTTTGCTACATAGAAGTATCTAACCGAAAGGGGCGTCATGTCTGACACTGAAATTGAGCATGCGACAAACGGTGCGGCCGAATTGAGCCTCGATGGAGACAAGCCGACCGAGGATTATGACGCTCAGCTGTCCGACAATGAAGATAATAAGGACGAGCACCAGCAGCACGAGGAGAACAACAACAAGGCCAAGGAAAACGGACAGCACGAAGAGGCCGAAGAGGAGGTGAAGGCCAAGGATGCCGAGGAGGAGGAGGAGGAGTTCAAGATTCACAAGCCTGAACCCTCTCAGCCCAAGCCCGCCCCCACTTCCACATCGTCCTCGCCCTCTACTTCGGGAACGCAGACCCCCACTCGCACGCCCACCAAGCCTGGTGCGCGCACGCCGACCTCGTCAGGCACCCGTACGCCGACGCGCACCCCTACGCGCACCCCTACCTCGTCGGGCACTCGCACGCCCACACGCACCCCCACCAAGTACGTTCCGCATCCTTTGCGCACTCAACTACTGTCATTGCTCTTCATTTTCGGTCTTAATTTTACATCACATGTTGCATTTTTGCCTTGCATTGATTTCATTTCATATTATTTTTTCATTGCAATGAAGATCGCCTGCTGCCCCCAGCCCTAGCCGGGACTTCTCGCCCACCCTCTCGCCGCATGCATCGAGCATTCAGCGGTCGGGCAACGTCTTCGATTCGCTCTACAACGATGCCCTCCAAAGGCGCGAGAAGCTGAAGCAGAAGCAAGAGCAGCGTACGTCTCCTGAACACTTGCAAGCGTCATTGCTCTTGTGATTAATCCATCCTCACTGTGCAACCTGCACAGTGGACGCTGAGCGCCAGAAGCAGTTCACCAGCCCCACGGTGTCCAAGTATGCCAACAAGACCCAGCGTAACCACAACGTCTTCGAGTCTCTCTACGGCGACGCTCTGCAGAGGAGGGAGAACAGGAAGAAGAAGCAGGAGGGAACCGAAGGCCAGTAAAAGCCGTAGACGCTTGTAGAAGAAATACACCTTGTGGCGCGGGCGCCCACGAGCCACAACCGCCCGACCAGGGTTGTGAACGAGGAGGCGACTAGCAGAAGAGGAAAAGAAGCAAAGAGATCAGCCGCCAAGCAAGGAGGGAGCTCGTGGGAGAATCACCGCACCGACACTGGTTGTGTCTTCGGCAAATGAATGTGTCACCTTTTTTTAACTCGCTCTGCTGACGTGTCGGCGGCCTCCCCGTCGAAACAGATGCATCATGAGCCCAGCAAATCATAATTAATCATTTTCTCGTGCAAGCCCACAGATCCTCAATCGCTATGTTCTTCTGGTGGCTTGTTGTTGGCGTACTTGTGGCGTCCATCGCCCTGCTTACTCTGCTGCTGGCCCCACTGCCCACCTTCCTTGCGTCGGGCGCGGTTCAACTGATTAACGCCATCCAGCGCCCCCTTTGGGTGGTGCTCAGCCTCGTTTCCTGGGTTCTTGTTGGTACTCCCCCTCCCCAAGCACACCTCTGATCCTCTGCTTGCCTTATGTAGATCAACATAATTCTCATAATTAAATAATTCGTCTAATTGCAAACAGATGCTGCATTGGAGGTGCGAAAGCACAGCGGCGTTAGCGACAGCCACTATGCTGAGCGTGCCGGCCTCCCGATGATGACGCACAACATCAAGTGGCGTGCGGAGCGTAACTTCTACTTGGCCGGCTTCACGTGGACGCTGCTCCTCATCGTTCTGCGTTGCCACTACCTCGCTCGGTCCAAGCTGGAGCTCATCGCTGAAAACAGGCGCATGCGCGCCGAGAGGCAAAACCAGTAGGGCTCACCTGTCGTGAGTTGCCCCGCCCTTTCTTGTCTTGCTCTGTCTGTATGTAGCCTACTTGCACCTTGGGCGACTTGTCGTGCACCAAGGTCTGAGCGGAAGCCAATTTAAAAACCATCAAGCCAAAGCGTGAAGTGAAAGGACCCCTTCCCACCCATGTCAGGGCAGCGTGTGCTCAAAGCCCAGACGATGGTCGATGGAGAGCGTTATCGTCGGTCTGAGCGCAAAGGCGCCATTTCTGGAAGTGTTGGCGGCAGTTGGAATTTGATGCGGGTCCCGGCGTTTCTGTGTTATTTCTTTTTTCCTCTCTTGGCGGAAGAAGATAGCTCGCGAGCAGCCCACGCCCGAGCATCCATAGAAGAGCGAAGTCCTCCACCTTGCTCCTCCCTCATCCCAGCCGGCCCATTGCTGCGTTCTCCCTCCATCTTGCTACTCTTAGCATCATAATCTCCAAATTATTTGTTTTTTTGATTTCCTGCATCTCTCCGGACACTTCAATCTTCATTTTTCCTCCGATTCATTTCTCCCTTCACATCCAATGGACTTCCGCTTCGACCTCCTTCCTTCTTTGCGCATCCTAGATGCTCGATTTCCCGAAGAGATCGGTCGCCATCCCTACCTCTCCTCTCTGCAATTGCAGACCGAGGTATGCCCTGCCGCGCTTGATTTGTGTGATTTTTGTCGCTACTCGAATTTATGGCATCTAACCCGCTGCCAATCACACAGAGCCCTGCCATCACGTGCGAAGACAAGCACAAAATCTTGAACGTTCTGAGCCAGCTTCTGGTCTCTTCTCCGGTCCTGACGGCGCCGATCGCGCAACTGTTCAGGCCCATCTTGCTCGAGTTGGTCGCGCGCGTGACCGACACCGGCCCTCGCTCCGTGCTCGGCGAATGGGAGGTGCAGCGCTTTGAGGCCACTGCTTCGGCCCTGAGCAAGCTGCTTCACATGGCACCGCACACCAGCGGCATGGTGCTGGCCTTCTTCGCTCGCTCGCCTTCTCTCTTTGAACGCCTGAGCCAGCCTCGCGCGGCTGACTCCACGCATGTCGACGTACGCTCGGTCCACCTTCTCTCCCTCTGAGGAGTGTTGTGTAGTAATTGTGCTGATCGCTGACGCGTGACGGTCACATCTTTGTGTTAACAGGATTCGTTCGTCGAGCTGGCGAAGACGGCGTACAGATTCTTGAAGTTCTCATCAACCGACTTCGGCACCAGTCTTTGGGATTGGAGCCCCTTCTTCTCTCTCCTCTCCATCGAGCACAACGCCGCGCTGCGATTCTACGTTCTGGAAAGCGTTTCCATTCTGTTGAGCATCTCCGATGAGAACAAGCTGAAACTCCCCAACGCTCTCGATCTCCAACACATCAAGGCCATGTGCGAGATCAGGTTCGTCACTGCGCACGCACCCACGCACGCACGGCTCGCCGCGGCCTAGCTTGTCTCAAGGGTTGCTGACGCGTTATTGCCCTGCAGGGTCCACGAAACACAGGAGATGGCCTTGGAGCAAGCCCTCATGTTCACCAGCACATGGGATGCCGCCTCCACCACCACCTCCTCCGACAGCGCCACTTCACACAGGCACGTGATCAACATTATAATGCACAGACGGCTGTTTCCTAAAGAGTTGAGCTCTAACCATCCCTACGCGTGTCGCGACCACAGTGTTGTGACGTCCCAAGACTTGCACTCTTCGTTGGTCTCGGTGTGCGGAGTCCTTCTGCCCCGCCGCAGAATCAACGACAAGGGCGACGAGGCCAAGCGAGACAACATGCTCAACGAGTCTCTGGTCTACACCGCTACCACTCTCCTGAACATGAAGTCGCTGGCTTTGGCCGTGTGCGAGGTACAAACACACGAAGCCTTCCACGCGCCCACTCTCCAGCCCTCATGATATTCACGCGTTACGTGTATGCCGGAATGATAGGGCGATCCGATCTTGTTGGAGGGCAACACAGGGGCCGGAAAGACCGCCCTGATCGAGGAAATCGCTCGACTCACGGGCAATCAAGGTAAGTCGCCATGAGTGAATGAACCTGTTTATTTGTTCTTAGGGAGCTCAGCGACATGGAACTAGAGACTGAAACCACGCAAAACAACCTCCAGACATCATCAAGATCCATTTGGGCGACCAAACGGACGCCAAGGTGCTCCTGGGCACCTACGTATGCACGGAAGTGCCGGGCGAGTTCCGCTGGCAGGCCGGAGCACTCACCCAGGTGCCTATCCCTCGCACACCATCACCTATTCCTCCCCCCACTCATTTCGTGCGCAATTTGTTCACGCCTGGGGTGCGGCGTTGCAGGCGGTGCGCGAGGGACGCTGGATCGTGATCGAGGACATCGATCTGGCCCCGCTGGAGATTCTCTCCGTGCTGATCCCGCTGCTGGAGACCAGGAAGCTGTTCATCCCCGGTCGCGGCGAAGTCATCTACGCGCCCAAGAACTTCCAGCTCTTCGCCACGCAGACCCTCTACGGCTCCTCCGGCGGCTCCGTCGGCCAGAATGGTACCACCTCCAACCCCCCTCCCCACCAAACCAGCTTAGCGTCGACAGTGCGCCGGGCTGGACTCATCATGCTTTTCCTTCGTCCGATTGTGCAGCTCGTCTGCTGCACAACTTCTGGACGCGCGTGGTCGTGGAGTCGCTCTCGTCCGAAGAGTTGGGCACCATCCTTGCCTCTAAGTACCCGCAAATCGCCACCCTGGTCCCGCAGTTTATTGGTACACTTCCTCTGTCCAATTGGCATTACACGTTCGTGTCGACTGACACACACACACACACACACACCAGCTACGTTCGACTTGTTGCGTGGTAACACGGAGTCAACGCTGCTGCTGCAGCAGTCGGAGAGCGCGGGCAGTTCGGCGACCACGCCCATAGTGCTGTCGACGGACTACATGGTCAACTCTATCTTCTCCGGGCGTCACCTCTCGACGCGCGATCTGCTCAAGTGGTGTCGTCGCGTGAACCGCCACTTCCAGAGCCTCGCCCAGCAGGGCGTGACCAACATCATCGTCACCTACCAGCTGAAGGAGCTCATCTACCTGGAGGCCATCGACTGCTTCTGCGCGATGGTGCGTTTCGCGTTGACCCACCATTCCCCCATAATACGCGTGTTAACCGCGTTGCCCGCTTGATCGGTGGTGGTGCAGGTGCCTTCGCTGGCCAACCGGGAGAAGTGCTACGCCCTCATCGGGCAGTCGCTCGGCGTGCCCGCGGACAGGATCCAGCACTTCGTTCAGCTCTACAAGCCCTCGATCGACCTCTCGCCCACCGCCTTCACCGTGGGGCGGGCAACCCTGCCCAAGGCCCCCGCCCAGGTAAACTCATCTTACTTATCACCGACATGGTTGTGATGGAACAAACACAGTGTCTCATCTGCTCTCGTCATCAGGAGTTGCTGACGGCGCCCAGGAAGTCCAAGTTTGCCCACACGAAGCAGTCGCTCACGCTGCTCGAGCGTCTGGCGCATTGTCTCGGCATGGGCGAGCCGGCCCTGCTCGTGGGTGAGACCGGCACGGGCAAGACGTCAGTGGTGCAGTACCTGGCCGACCAGCTCGACCAGAAGCTCGTCGTACAGAATCTGTCGCAGCAGACCGACAGCTCGGATCTGCTGGGTGGCTTCAAGCCTGTGGAGATGCGCATCCTGTGCATCCCCCTCAAGGCCAAGTTCGACCAGCTCTTCCCCAAGACCTTCTCCAAGAAGGTAATACCGCCGCCCTCTCGTGTTGTGCTGTGCTGCGTTGTGTGTCGTGTGGTTTTCAGCTCATGCGGCTACATCTCTGACCTTTGTGTCCGTACGCAGGCCAACGCCAAGTTCATCGCCGACGTGGACCAGGCCTTCGGCCAGCAGGATTGGAAGAAGTTCATCCTCCTGCTGACCAAGTCCCTCCAGGAGGTGGAGAAGAAGTTCCTGCTGCTCGATCAGAAGGAAGACGCCCAGCGGAAGAAGAGCTCTGACGGCACCAAGCCCACGGCGGCCAAGCCTGAGAAGAAGGCCGCCGCCGCCAAGCAGGCTTCGTCGGCGGAGGTCAAGGGCAAACGGAAGGCAGAGGCCGAGCTGAGCAAGGAAGGCGCCAGCGCCGAAGCCAAGAAGCCCAAGCAGGCCGCGCGAAGGAAGAAGCAGGCCCAGAAGCCCGTCAGCCCTCTCGTTCGCCAGGAGTGGAAGAAGCTCGCCGCCGCCGTTTCCAAGTTCGAGGTGCGTGTCGTCGACAGCAGTCGTGTGGAGGCCACTGTATGTACTCGGCCGCGGTCTACTGACATACATTGCTTGTTGGTGGTGTGGTGAACAGATCCAGCAGGATCAGCTGAAGAACAACTTCGCATTCGCGTTCGTGGAGGGCACCCTGGTGGAGGCCGTGCAGAAGGGCTACTGGGTCCTGCTCGACGAGGCCAACTTGGCCACCCCGGAGACCCTTGAGAGCATCAGCAGCCTGCTCGAGGGCGGCTCCATCGTGCTCACCGAGAAGGGTGACGTGGAGCCCATCAAGCGCCACCCCAACTTCCGCGTCTTTGCCTGCATGAACCCGCCCACCGACATCGGCAAGAAGGTATGCCTGCCTCAGTTTCCTCTCCTTTCGTCACAGACCGTGTGTGTGTGTCGTGTGTGTGTGTGTCGTGTGTGTGTGTATATATATATGTGTCGTGTTGCTCTCCGCGATGCTCACCGTGTATACGGTGCAGAACCTGCCGCCGGGTCTGCGCAACCGCTTCACCGAATTTTACGTGGACGAGCTGAGCAACGTCGAAGATCTGCGCACGGTGGTGCACTCCTACATCAAGGGCTGCGTGGCGCAGCCGCCCGTGGACGACATCGTCAATCTGTACCTGGCCGCGAGGCAGCAGTCGCAGATCGACCTCACCGATGGCGCCAACCAGCGGCCGCACTACAGCTTGCGTACGCTGTGCCGCGCGCTGGAGTATGCCCTCCTGATCCAGCCCGACTACGGTTTCAAGCGGGCGCTCTACGAGGGCTTCAGCATGAGCTTCCTCACCCAGCTCAACACCACCTCCGTGCCCACCATGCTTGCCCTCATCCGAAAATACCTTGTTAAGGGGTACGCAATCATGCGGCACTCGCGGTGGTCAGCTTCCTTGAGGTCTTCAGCTACTTACGAATCCACACACACACACAACACACACACAACACACAAAACACACACAACACACACACAACACAAACACAATAGGATGAACGACAACCAGCTGCTGATGCCGCCGAAGAAGCCCGAGGTCGCGGCGGAGCAGGACTTTGTGCTGTTCGAGCAGTTCTGGATCGCGGTGGGCAACCAGCCGGTGGTGGATCCCACGCACTACATCCTCACCGCCAGCATCAAGAAGCACCTGGCCAACCTCGCGCGCGCTGTACTCTCGCGCAAGTACCCCGTGCTCCTCCAGGGACCCACCTCGAGCGGCAAGACGTCGATGGTCGAGTACCTGGCCCGGCGCACCGGGCACCGCTTCGTGCGCATCAACAACCACGAGCACACCGACCTCCAGGAGTACCTCGGTACCTACATCTCCGACCCCAACGGCAAGCTGGTCTTCCAGGAGGGCATCCTCGTCGAGGCCGTTCGCAAGGTACATTCCAACGAGATTCCTTTCACACTACACCCATACATTGTTTCCGATCATTCCTGACGCAATGATTTCTTCATGGCAAATGTTAAGGGCTACTGGGTGGTGCTGGACGAGCTCAACCTGGCGCCGTCGGAGGTGTTGGAGGCGCTCAATCGTCTGCTGGACGACAATCACGAGCTCTTCATTCCGGAGACGCAGGAGGTGGTCAAGCCCCACCCGCACTTCATGCTCTTCGCCACCCAGAACCCGCCCGGGCTCTACGGTGGTCGTAAGGTGCTGTCGCGTGCGTTCAGGAATCGATTCGTCGAACTGCACGTGGACGACATTCCGGACAGCGAGCTCAAGATCATCCTGGAGAAGCGCTGCAGCATGGCCCCGCCCTACTGCGAGAAGCTCGTCGCTGTCCTCAAGGATCTCCAGCGCCGAAGGTAACAATTGCTCGCATTCCATGTTCGGTACGGTATGCGAGGTATGCGCATTTGTGTTAACACTCTATCCGTTGGGATTGGCAGGCAAGGCACGCAGGTCTTCGCCGGCAAGCACGGTTTCATCACCCTGCGTGATCTGTTCCGCTGGGCGGAAAGACGGCCCAACGGCTACCAGCAGCTGGCCGAGGAGGGCTACATGCTGCTGGCCGAGCGGCTGCGCAAGCCCGAGGAGAAGCGGGTGATCAAGGAGGTCCTCGAGAAGAACATGAAGAACGTCGTGATCAACGAGGACGAGATCTACTCGCGGCCCTTCAAGGCCGACAGCGTCGAAAACGACCTCTTCGAGAGCCTCCGGATGGCCGAGGGCTTCGGGTCCATGGTGTGGAATCAGTCCATGCGCAGGTACATTCTCGTTCTTCTGGGCTTTCCCCCGGTATTTCTGGAAGCTTAGCTGAC